GATAACAAGACAATCTTATTCTTGTTATAACTTGACTTTCTGTTTCAAAGTGAACTGTACAATGGCAAAATTGTGCTGCTTCTTTCACAAGGAGGCTTGCAAACTGAAGATACAAAGGCTTTCAGAAGCTGGAAAGGACTCCCATTTCCACCTGGAAGAGGAAAGCTATACTCATAGTCCCAGTTTTCTACAGGCAGACAGCATGTTATTACGAGCTCACTACATGCAGCCTCTCTGAGCCACTGTGATTAACACCAATAGCTACGATGCATGACACGAGCCCAGAAAAAATGCAGCACTTCAAAACGTTGGCAAGACCTGAAGGAAATGGTAATTGTTTTATTTTATGTGACCTATAAAAGGGTCAAAGTTTGTTCTCACTTACTGAAGACAAACCTGATATTTAGCTCGAAGAGAAGACAGTTAATGCTTATCCTAAATTAAACATAATTGAGTGGCACACTGAAAACCTCTGTTTCCTTTAGTTATAAACACTCATTCTACAACCCTGAGAAAGACACACCAGAGACTCTTCCACAGTGCAAAACACCACTGTGAAAGACTTTTTTAAAGCAGGTCTATGCATTTGGAACTTTAACGATACTGAGTTGATACACATGCGAGTCTGGACCTTTGAAACATCATCACACTGCAGCAACCCAGATTACATCATCTGTACCAGAGCTCTACCGTGTTCCTACCGAGTTGAATGGCAAAACTCAAAGCCATTTGGGCTGTGACTCGACTCTCCAAAAGGCATGAAGGTGGCTGCTTACTGAACAGCCTTTACAAACCATGGGATGCAGCACCTCGCAGCTCTTGAACTGGCACAAAACACACACATGCAACCCACAAACGTCAGGCAATAGAAATGAAAGTAAAAATTTAAGAGGGAAGCGACTGATGCCTTCTTCCTTCCTAGACCCCTCCCTCCGAGCAGCAACTGCCACACTGTTCTCCAAAAAAGAAGGAGGTCATGTTGTCAAAATCCATTTTTACAGCATTTCAGTGGCAGATTAAAGCACTAACTAGCGTTTCAGAAGGACACTGGAACTGCACTGAGGAGCAGGACTGAACAGCAAGAGGCTCTGCAGATAGTAAGAACAATTTTTTTTTACTTTAATGTCAAGATTTTAATGTTCTAGTTTAAATTTCAAAAGAAGGAATGATTGGAAATATGTTTCCCCTACCAGAACAATAATGACATGCTTTTGGAGAATTAACACTTTGGTTCAAAACAGGCAGAAAAGCTGGCTTGCAAGCATACAGAATTAAATGGTTGTTTACTATCAGAAACTAAGGGAAACCTCATTTCAGTATAAAGCTACAGACTTTAGGATAAGCATAAATATCCGCTGATGACAAAACTAAAGCTGTGCCAATACATAACTATCAAAAATGAAATACAGAAATGAATGCCCTCTCATCAGGATCCTTCAGGACAATTAAATTGTTACTAATTTAATATATAGGAATGACTGCACACAACGTATCCACCAGGTAATGTTTAATCACTCCACAGCCCATTTTAAACAACAAAACTAGCTTTGTGAAAGCACTGCTGAGCTATTTGTTTCTTCAAAAATAACCAGGCTGCAATGGTTAATTATGTACCTGCACAATTAAGGAAACGCAACTTCAACCATTCTACACATCCCAGCCCCACCAGGGCTCCACGTTCTCAAAGCCAGCTGCAAACCTGATATTCAAATACTAAATTTAACAGAAACGCCCCGTATCTGTCAGATCCTAACGCAGGGATACACTGCACCCCACAGGGACAGGGGGTTTAGTACACCAGACAGTTGCCGGGTCTTCCCCCTACGTTTCACAGGACCAGCCTGTGAAGTTCATTGATTTACGCTACAGGCACTTCGCATGCAAATACTGTAGGGTATTGCCACAGCGCTTTATAGATGACTAAATTTAACACCGCTGTGTATGCACGTCCCAGGCAAACCCCACTGCACGCAGCCTGTGATGTTAACTGGCAATTATACACAACACATAGAATAAACTCGCATGCTTTGGGGTCAATGGTCACCATTTTCTGAAAGTATGTACTCCTCAAGCTAAATGAGGAGAAACACAATCCCAAGCCGTATTTCACAACAAACTAAACGTGCTCCCGGTTAAAGCCCAGCTGAGGCCGCGTTTACATTTACGAGTATCAGCCACACTTCCGAGCAAACACAGCGAAAACAGAAACAGCACCGCGTCCGCAGTGAATAAGGAAACTTCTGAACCCAGGTCCACGTTTCAGCGCGATAAATCTCTTACTCATACAAGGAAGAGGTCACCCTCCCATACAGCGAAAACGAAATTATCTCACCCATGAACGCCCGGGGAAGGTTCCTCAGCAAGGGGGGAGCGGGGCAGGGGCGAACCCTTTCCCGCAGGGCGGGAGGACAGGGCGCTGCCCCGCGCCCGGCCGAGCCCTCCCGCGGGCAGAGCCGGCGACCGCGCCGCGGATGCGGCACCACCGCCGGCGGGGCGACCCCTCACACCGCCCCGGGCAGCGCCCCGGCCGGGGGGCGAGGCGTCCCGGCAGCTCCGTTTCCTTCCCCCCCTCGGCCCTTCCTCTTTGCTTAGTCACCGCAGGAGCCCCCCGAGGGAGGGGGACGGGGCGGCCCGCTGCGGCCAGCGGCAGCCGCTGAGTGCCCCCACCCAGCGCCGGGGGGCGGCCGGGGGCTGCGGAGCGCTGCTAGAGCACCGGGAGGCGGCGGGAGAGACAGCGCGGCCCCTCACGGCCGCGGCCTAGGAGCCGGCGGCTCCCGTTCCGGTCGCTCCAGCCCGGGGTGCCACCGAGGGGACGGGAGGAGGCCGCCCCGCCGGGCCGCGGCAAGGAACACTGCCCCCCGCACCCGGAGGGGTACCGGGGCGGAGAACGGTGCCCGCTGCCGCCCGCCCACCGGCCCTGCCCGGCGCGGCGCTGGCTCTTACCTTCATCAGCCTCCTGCTGGCCGCCATCTTGCTCTGCTGCTGCCGCCCCACAATGCATGGCGGCGGCGGGCCGGGCGCTACAGCCCTGCGCTTCCTGGGGCGGCGGCGGGGGCGGGCTGGCGGGGTTGGGCTGTGCTCCGCTCCCCTCGGGCCGCGCCGGTCACCGCCCCGCACCGGCGGCCGCAGCGCTGCCCACAGAGCCTGGCCGGGCCGGGCAGCGCCGCGCCTGTGCGGCAGCGCGGCTCCGTCCTGCGGGCAGAGGAGCGCGCCGGGCCGGGACCGGCCTGCAGCCTCCCGGGCCGGGGCTCCTGCGGCAGCCGCTCGCTGAGGGCCGGCTGCCCGCCTTCCTCCAGCGCTCGGGGATGTCTTTTGTCCCAGCGCGGTTTTAATCCTAGCCCAACGCTTTAACGTTCTGGCGTGGCTTGTTTTATTTACTGGTCATCACCCCAAATCCAGTGTCACTGTGGGGAAAAGGACACCGAGACGTAGCTGCAGGTTTTATCAAACAACACACACGTGTTATTGGTTAGCTTCTTAAAACCCCCGGGGTGGGGGGTGTTCCATCAGAGGCACCTGATCCACAGAAACCACCCCAGGTACATCCCTGCCCTTAGCACTGCCAGTTCAGCCCAGCCTCACCCCGGCACTTCCAGCCTGCCGTGCCCTGCCGCAATCTCCTTGAGGAAAGCAAGCTGTGGAAGAGGACATAATGTCACTGTCAGTGTCAATCAAGGCTGTAAATGGCCATGTGCTTTTTAGCTCTTTAATGGAGCTCTAATTGTAAGTGCTCTCCTGCTCTGATCCTTCCCAGCTGGCCTCTAGCAATGGCTGCAGGAGCAGTTCAGATACCTGACCATAAGCATCCAGTACCATTTCAGGTGCCCTAGGGTAGCCAAGACACAGGGCTAGCAGATACAACATGGGACATAAGTTACCATGCTGTATGACACCTGAAATGCCACCAGACGTGTGTCCGGACACCTGACCTGCTCCTAAAAACGTTCTCTGCGTACTCAGGAATTACTCCAAAATCTGCTCTGCTGATGCGTGGCCTTATTTTCCCTTCCCCCCCCTTCATGTCACTTAATCATGTCCTCAATCTAACACTTGTTCTGTGAACAAGTCACGTGAAAAGGTTCTAAGCTCTAAAATAAGCTTTACAGGCGCAGACAACCCGAAAAGGAAGTGTTATGGTTATTACAAGAGGCTTTCAAAGACTTGTAAAAACGCAACAGAAGTTGTTAATTGTAAAGCCCAGGATGTTATCTTCAAATTATCCCCTGATATAGTGATAGTACCTGATAACCAATATTTTGCATTAATATAGTACTTATTGCTCCAAAACTTAATTAACATTTGTTAATGAAGTAAGCTATACAGCACATACAGGAACCAAGTTAATGCTGCAGCTGCTTCATATAGGTATTATTAAATAATCTGTAAATAATTATTAAACATATTTGGAGATCGTGGAAACTTTATTAAATATCTAAAGATTAGTACATCCAGTTTACTCAAGAAAAATGCAGTCAGAGGCAACTGAAAATGAAAGAGGCAGAGAGCTGTAAAGCAAGTGAGAGCGCTGACTGGCTGCAGGAGTTACACACTACGTACCCGTGGCAGAGACACGCAGTGTGGAAACAGAAGGTGCAGACTCTAATGAGGATTCTGGATGTGCTGCTGAGACGGGATGCTGGTGGCGAAGATTTAAAAAAGCCAACATTGGATAAAAGGGCTAGCTCAGATCATATGATTCAGAAACACCTCAATGTGATACCATGGTAACTTGGAAGCACGGTTCTTACAACTTATTTTCCAGATGTCTACAAATATGAAAACCAAGCTGCTTCAGAAACTATATTGATTTTTTATTTGCCAGAACTCTATTCATATCCTCATCTCATCTTCATTTGACTGCATAATTTTCCAAGACCACCATATGTCTCCAAGTATTTTCTAACCTATTTTTTCCCCCAAAATAGTTATTCAGGCCCACACCTGCGCTGAGGCACATTGCCACCGCACGCGAGAGACACAACTAGAAGCACCACAAAGAATTCCAAATTGATTATATGTAATTTTAATCCACGAATTTATAGCTTGTAAGACAGTGTCAGAATTATCTGGGATAATTATAAATTAATCCACATTTCCTTTGACAAGGACAAAAATACCACCCACACTACAACTAACAATAGCCCAGCCAGTTCTTAAGAAATCACTGTTGAGTGCAGCTGTCCTCACAAGTTGCCACTTCATGTTGAAATCCTTTATTACAACAAGGTGTCTGAGAAGTTTACACAGAGCTAGGCATGTTTCACATACCTGTTGCCAGTGTCCTGGATCCTTTCAGTATCTAGTTTCAGGCTGATCCAGAGTAGATCCTGTGGTGCTAACACTGGTGCATCTCCTGGTTTTGAACAAGGGCTATGAAACCATATTGCATCTCGCCTGGGTAAGTTGCTGGCAGTCATGACATGCTGCTGTACAGACTCAAAGCAGCAGCAGGAATTTCCTTTCAGATAGAATTTCAATATACCTCTTACTTCCCTGTAAGCACCAAGACCAGGTATTGGTTACACTGAGTTTTGCAGATGGTTTTGCATTTTTTAACCTTTTTTAATGTGGTTTCCAGGTTCTATCTGTTCTTTTACTTGACTTTTAAGAGTGTCCAGAATACAGGTTTTAATGCTTATTCTGCGATACCTTCAAGGGACTAGACACTACATTTATGCCTGCTCATTCCCAAAGATAACTTTCTACCACATTTCTGCTGTTTTGGGGAACACAATTCACCTTCTAAAAGAGAAACTGTGTGAGCAGCCCTTCTGAACACACGAGCCACAACAGTGCCCAACACCTGAAAACCTTAGAAAAATTTCTCCTTGCCTCTTTACCGTTATAAAATGGCCATGAAAGAAAACAAGACGTGAAAAACAAAGGGGAGGAGGAAAGAGTAAGGATAATTTTGTTGCTGTATAAAACCTTGGTACCCTCACATCTTGCTTACAAGAGGGACAAGTCCATACACCTGAAGAATACAAAAGAATTACGGAAGGTAAAGAAAAGGGCAGACGCAATGATCCAGAGGGTGAGATAGAGCCATTAGTAAGAGTCTAAAACAGCTGGGGCTCTTCCACCTACAGAGGAGAAGGCTGAGAAAATATGATCAATATGATCAAGGCTTATGAAATCATAAAGGCAATGGCTAAGGTGAATACAAAGTTGTTAGTTATCAGATCTTACAGTACTAGAAGGAAGGTGCGCACTGTGGGACTCATCGGGCACCACTGGGAGCCAGAAGATGGTGCCTTTTGTCACAGCAGGTAATTAATGTCTGGAAATCCCTACCACAGGCTGCAGTAAAGGCGACAGTCAGCAGCTTCAAAAGAAACTAGTCAAACTGGGTAACAGGTCTACAAACAGATTAGAACAGAATAGGTATGGAATCATTATTTAACATCTCTGATTGATGCCTGGTCATAATTATGGATGCTTGGGAGTACTAGATGAGCAGACCAGGAACTTATGTACTGGTTCCTCAATAGAGCAACCTCTATTGCCACGGAAAGGAGAGAGTAGTGGGCAAGATGGACCTCTGTGCTGGTCCAACAGGCCACTCCTTATGTTCAGGATTCCTTGGATATTGCAGAATATAGACAGAATTCAGATTTCAAACAGTTTCTAATTAATTTAGAACATGTTAAAAGGATCTGCCAGTAACACACAAGGGCAAAGTTCATCTCCAGGAGCAACTAAGATAAAAACCTATAAAAGTAATTAATGCCCTAACTCATTAGATGCCTCTCCATTGGCATTATTAAAGCTAAAATGCATTTCAAAAAGTGCACATACTTGCTCCTGTAAAACTGCCAACAAATTGATGTTTTTATGTAGGTTTTCTTGTTCCTTTAGTTTCTAAGATCTTTAATGACAAGCATCTTAAAGCAATTAATTATGTATGGTGATTGGTATTTGACATTTGATCTGTAAGGTAAGTATCTACTACAGAATTATAAACTCTCTCCCTCCTGCATTTTGTATGTCATGTACTTGGATAAAGTGATTGTGCTCTATACAGGCCCCTTTCCTCTTGAGTGCAGTATTTCTTAACCGTTTGTGAAGAACTAAATCCATTAAGTCCCTTTTGCCTCCAAGGAAAAGAAAAGGGAGTTCTATCGATTACCTTTGTACTAACAGTGAACATAACAGACTCCAGCTCAAGTTAACACTGCACAAGCCCTAGTAGATTCTCCAGCTCTTTTAGCACAGGGATGACTGTTTCTTTCATTCTTAACTTGGTGAATTGCTTCCCCTTCCACCTGTGATCACATCACATCTAATTGGTTACGCAGGAATTTGCTTATGTAGAAAAGGCATATGTATCACTGTGTTTTCAGCTGCCTTGCAGTGAAACACAGCAGCATCAAAGAAAGGGTGAGCTCGCACCCAGGCCCCAGCCAGTGCTGCACAGGCAGGGACAAAGCAGATAAAAAATGAATTGCTCACTGGCTAAAGATAAAGGCAATTTAATAAGCAAAGGAAAGAGGATGGGAAAAAACCTGCAAGAGTTTAAAAGATGCTTACCTCCAGGAGGAAGGGGACAGCACAGAGCTTCTGCCAGAGGCTGTGGGTGAAGACATGATGCTGCATGGTCTGAACTCCCTGCCAGAAGTAAGGGCAGGCAGCAGTGATTCTGTGGGAGAGCAGTTGCAGGCAGGAGGGCAGGAAGAGGACTGGCTGCCCGGCAACAGGGACTGGCACCCCAGAGGAGCCTGGGGAGACTATGCAATGTCTTTCAAAATAAGAACTGCCTTCTGAGGAAGGGAAGCTCTTTGGAAGTGTAGCAGGAGGCAAAGTGGCTGAAGCAGAACTGCTTCCACTACCCAGCAACTGGAACAAAGATCCAGGCAACTTTACGAGACCACTTTCAGGGCAATCAGATCTTGATATCTTTTAGATGAGGTGACTAAATGAGACCCAGGAATCAGTAACAAACAAATGTTCCTGAATTGTAGAGTCTTCAAGACAACAACCTGCAAGATTTAAAGTATTCTTAGCTCGATATAGCTATGACCCTTTTGATGGTCCTAATAAGCACCCTAAAGCAGAGCTTCCTGTAGCTACTGGAGAATAAGGTTTGTATCTTTTGAGATATGGATGAGGATGGTTTATTTGAGGGAGAGCTGACTGATGGCAGAGGGGGACAGGTTCCCCCTAATGTGATAGAAGTTTCAAAGGATGACATGATGACAGCTGAGCCTTTGGAGCCAAGTGAGCTCTTGCAGAATGCAGATCACAAAGTGAGATTTTGCAGTAGAAGCATTAAATCTGTGTCATTGTGTTGGCTGATAGACTAGGAGACAAAGAGATTCCTCTTCATCATGCAGCAGTCCCTTATCCAAGAAATCTCACTCTGATCAAACAATTTGCAAGAAATATCACTATTGGCTGGGAGGCCTCCAATTGTGCCAGCTGTGCAGATACTAAATGTGGTTTTATAGCCAGAATGCAAGACTCAGCTCAGAGACTCCATCAGTCATCAAAGATTTGGAGTTTTAAAAAAATCAGACCTACTGAATTCTAGTTCAAAGTATAACAGAAAAAGGAGACTCAGATGAGCAGCAGCATCCTGTCCTGGTAGGGAAAGGCTTCCAAACAGCTCCACAATGTTTGAAAATCAGGAGAATCATTCCTATTTCAGAGGTCACTTGGATGCCAAGCAACAATTATTTGCATGCTGTGTACCCTAATGAAAAGGACTACGTGGCAGAGGGTACTGGTCCACTTTTGAAAGCTTGCTGCCCAATGCCCAGCAAAAAGCACAAGTGAAAGCATAGCCTAAAGACATGAAATGGCAGATTAACCAAGGGAAGCAGGAGCAAAATTCAGCAACAGTGAGATTTGTTACTCCATCTCCTCAACTACCTCATGCTCTGCCAATGTCCAGTGGATGTCTTGTTTACCAGCTGACAATCGGGGCCAGTCAATGCTGGAGGAGCTTCCAAAGGAATAAAATTGCTGTGTGTATCTGTGGACAGAGAGAGACAAAAGTTGCATCTCCAACACTGCAAGCGCCCTGGTGGTTTATCTGAGAGTTGAATAATGTGGCAGATGCTCCTTTCTTCAACCAATAGACAGAAAACCTCACATGGTTGTCCTCTATTTAGAAAACAAAAAAAGTGCACCCTTTCCTGTTCCAACTGAATTTAGGAGTTTTTCTGTTGACTTCTAAAGCATAGGATTAATGTACCCATTCTTTTCTATCTCTAGATCTAAATACAGATATTTGTACCATAAATACATATGTTTTCATTGAAACTGAACAGAGGAGTGACTGCCAAAACCATTCTTCTGCTAAGACATGAATTAAATAACTCTACACACTATAAGGACTATTTATACTCAAGAAAAAGTTTTCTTTAGCACAGATTTTAAAAGAAAGGATTCTGCTCAGTTAGCACTAAGGAACCAATTTTGCGACTATTCTAGCTATACATGGAAATCCCCTATTCAAGTTACATCCAACATCAGAGTCCCACTTTGTGCACTTTATTACACAAAGTGTTTGTTTTCTGTCATCGATTACATAATTTTCCTCATATAGATTTGTTTCCTTGCAATCTTACACTGGTTTGTTAACGTTATTTTTTCCATACTTAAAAGCCTGCCTTTTTTTCTAGGGTGATTGGCTTTGACTGTAAGTGCTGTAAAGGGTGGTTCACAGCTAAATTATATGTGGAGTATTTTTAAGCAAGTGAATGGTCCAACATTTAAATATCACTCTTTAAGATAATTATTTGTTTATAACAGTGGAAAGTTTGCTAGTTTCTAAAGCACTGTTGGTTTCTGTACCTATCTCATTGTTTAAGATACAAATTTGGTTAGGTTTTGGTTGTTGAAAACATGGATGTTGGAGACTGCTTTATTGTAATAAAGGCTTACTTAAAACAAGCTTTTTTTTGTATTTTTTTTAGCATTTTCTTTTAAAGCCACCATTTAGTGAAGGATAAACTTTAAAAACTTATTAAAAGTTATTTTGCCCTTGCGTTGTATTTAGCGCCACAGTTAACTCATAAATGAATCTCTTTGCTGAGAAGGGGATTTTGCAGAGGCAAGGTGACAGGTCTAGTATGGGTTCTACCAGTTTCTGTGGAGAACCCAACCTGTACCTCCCAGATGCTGGGGCAGCCTGTGGGTTGAACACATCACATACACGCACACCGCCCCAGGGACTGTTCTGACTCCTGTCAGACCTAAAGACCCATCAGTAATTTAGAATATGCTTTTTCAATCTTTTCTATTTGTAAGCTACAGATAGCTTTACAGGGAGGTCCAGAAAACTTGAGCCTACTGCTGGCCTAAAGCTGCTTTTCTGACTTATTGCAGCACTACATTTTTGGCTGGACTCAATGATCTTAAGGGTCTTTTCCAATCTAAATTATTGTGTATATCTTAGAAGTAGTCCACAACCCCCTGCTCTAGCGTAAATGAGCCGCTCTGCCATTAGAAACAGCAGAATTCCTTTCTAACACTCAGACATTTCCTAAACTTCTTTAACGGGAGGGAAGGGAAAAACCATCACTGCTTGCTATTGAAGCAGTGCTGCCACCGCAGAAAGAGCCATTTCAGGTGGCTGACTTCAGCCATGCCGGTGGAACCATGAGATGGCAGCAGAGCCCACGGAACGAGCGCCGGGACCCAAAGCTGTACTTGCCCAAGTACCGCTTCAGTCCTAAAGGGCTCTGGTGGTCCCGTCTGCGTGTTTTTAAAGGAACTCTAATCAAAGCACGCTTCATCTCTGTGTTACATTGCAGCTGTGACAAATGCAGCCAGGAATAATGCGCACAGCAGTCAGATCTCTGGTTTAGGAGAAGTGATTTTTCTTTCTCTTTTAGTTTATGCTCATCTTTCTATCTGTCCCTGCTCTGGAAAAGCTTGTCTAAAAGCAAGCTTCGGATTTGAGCCAAACTCGACCTTCTAATGTTCATTCCTCAGACAAGCCTACGTAGGAAAGGAATACTTCATTATAGAAATGTTACTGTACTTAAAAGGTTGTGTTTGGAACCGGGAGGAACCAGATCCCAAGACTCCAGGCACTTAAAAGCAAAAGTGAAGTTCTTTTTACAGCAAATAAACTCTAGAGAGATTGTTTCCACCCCCGAAAATAGCTTGATACTTCCCATTGCTACTATAAACGTTTCATTATGACTAAAAAAAGTTTAAATCCCACTGTCCTAACTGAAAAGGTGTAGAGACATCATCTTTACCACAATAAATTTTACTAAATACAGTATGAACTCAAGCGCTGTATAAAGGGCTGAGGGAGCTATCAGAGGGATGTTTCTCTAGCTGTATAGCTAGAAGTTCAGGAAACAACAGATACAGGAATAATTGAGTGGTCTAGAGCTGGCACGGCTCCTGAAGATGGGCTTAGTGAATTTTGGGGTGAAGAAAAGAGGGGGTAGTATCAGGGACAGCTTGGAGGTGGCCTCTGTGTCATTTGAGGGGAAGCAATGGGGAAGGTTGGAGCTGACATGGTTAGCAGCACACGCCAGGGCGGAGGAAGGGCATTGTAGAGCTGCTGAGAGCCTGGATCAGCCATAACCTTATGGATCATCAGCCACAAATCAGGTTAGGTACCAGCTTGCAGCAGCTGGGCTGTATTCTGTTGTGTATTAGCTATGAATTGGGCTGCCTGCCACTGCAGAGGACACATCCTGGCTCATTACACAGAGTCACACAGAGCAGTACTGAGCCAGGTTGAAACAGAAAGTAATACAGAAATAGATGTAACGCAAGTTTTCTGTGGCATCATAAATATCACTCAGTACAGTTGTCTTGGATATCACCATCCATATGTAACCTGCAAGTTCACTGAAAGATGAGGCAGATGAAGGACAAAGATGAAATCATTTGGCAATGGACTTCAAGGGTATTGAGAGGATAACTGGCAGGTCTTGCACCCCAGGAGGTATTGCTTTTAATTAAAAGAACTGAAATTGCCTTGTGATGCACAAAGCCAGACCAGCCAAAAGGACTCAATAATACTACAAAAGCATGTTCACAGGGAGATGGCATTAGATGACTGATTATTATTTTCATGTCTAATTTCTATGTTTAAAGAGGCCCATAAATCCCCAATTTTATATTAAAGTTGTATTTCATTCACAGCCAGGTTTTAACTTGAAGAACAATTGAGGGGTAACAGAACAAACCAGAATGCTGAATGTAGGTTTTAATAAATCAACTTAGAAGAAAAGCATCATCTCTCAGGAACCACATTTCTTGCACAGATAGCAGAGAAAATGGTCTGGGCTCCTAACCTGAGCCTTTGCCTATACCTGTGCCCTCAAAACCAGATCCCCTTAATGTGCAGGCTGTGAGCTTCTGAGCATGAGCAAAATTCAGCCCTTAGAGCATGCAGGTATGAGAAATGACTGGCAGATGAATGCCTCTGCCAGGCACATCAGAGCAGTCCACAAGGTAACCCCATAAAGTGAAGCCAGAGCACTCATGCTTGCCTTGCTGCAAGAAATACTCTTTTAGAGAAAAGCTGACACTGGCTGGAGATGCAATGCTTGCAATGGTCCTCTATTCCTAGCTCAGTTACCTCTGCACACATCCAATGGAGCAGACCCTGTGGAATGACAGAACATGAAGCTAAGTCTAGATTTATCATATTTCAGGACGTCAGAAAACCTAATATTACCCTAACCAATGAAAAGCAGGAGTGCCACCCACTTGAAGGGGATATATTTTACCATGGCTTTTACCCCGACCTTTCCTGCACAGCGCATTTCAGTCTTGTGACCCAAGCATGACTGGTGCTTGCTATTCAAGCTGTCACATCCGTGAAGGAGGAAGTAGGGCTGGCATTAGCTGCTTACTCTTATAGTCAGGCCTATGACAAGAAGACCCATCCCAAAAGGGGGATCCAGCCCTAGAGGCTGGCACATTTAGAGCACACTGGTTGACAAAAAGATTCCTGCATGTTAGGCATGCACCTTCTTCATGGTGTTCTATGGATATGTTTTCACCTCTTACTGCCCATAGATAAAGATGTGATGAACATGGCTTGACGGGAAAGTTTAGATTGGGATCTTCTTATGTCAAATAACTAAAGACAATCATTCCGTATGTCACTTATTCCCCCACCACATGACCGAAAGCATTTTCCCAGCCAAAAGTGCTGGCATTCTCCATCATACAAGGGGTTCACTTCTGATTGCATGCTAAGGGACAAATGCCTTCATCCCATGTCTCCATTGGTGTCTGTCCAGTCACAGGAGAGCCCATCCTTTCATACATTGAGAGATTAACAGATTTGATAGTTGAACCACAAGTGGACTTCTGTTCACAAGATGGAAAAAACAGTAGAATGGCCAGAGAAATCACTCTGCTACCTTGCATCTGGCTCCCAGCTTTGGTTCTTCACTTTAGTGAAAGGATTTGTTCCCAAATAGGCGGAATAACAGGGTTTCTCACACAGCTGCTGCCTGTCCCTGCTGCATTCCCCGATTCAGCTGCCCTCCAGAAAAACAGAGAAGTGTCAGGAAAATTGCTAGTACAATAGATGACTATCAACTTCTGCTGTCGCTTCTCTCAATGCACAGATATTCAGTTATTAAAAATGTAAGAATACCCTGTATTTTAGGTCGCCTTCCTTTCCTGTCCTTCATCATTAAATGTTGTCATAGTTTTCTTTTAGATCATACTAGTAACCTAGTTCAGAAGGCTCCAGCACAACATGGTTTATAACTGACCTGTGAAACACGAGGACCAAAAAGTTGTCTTTGTTTATTGACTAATGCTATTCATCCCAAGATAAAAGCACACGCAGAAAGTTCTTAATGTTTTAAATAATTAAATCACCAAGTAGGAAACCCACCTGAGCTTTAAAACAAACTCATCACGCATTACCAATGATCTCTGAAGAGGCTGCCAGGTGAGAAGAAACATAGTAAAGACAGTCTGTTCATCAGCTTTTATATCCTGTACTGCAAAATAGCTCTCTAAATCCTAACAGAAATCACCATTCCTTACCTTACCCTAGTAAAGAAGACAAAGAGCACAGGGAGAAGAGAGCTTGCATGGCTTACGGCTTTTAGAAATTACCTGCCAAGAGTGTAATTTTAAAGTGATTGTCTTCCATTAGGGCTACAATAAACAGCATGGTGGAAAATTCAATCTGATTAGCTTTTCTAATGAGCTGCAGGAGGTTGTGGAGGCCAGAGCAGAAGAATCTTAAACATTTCACCACTGATTACAAACCTGCCTCTGAATTAATCAGATAATGAAGTGCATAGATTTAATGAACCTAATGCTGATCAACAAATTATCAGTGATCCTTGTAGATTTTTGTCAGGCTAAACACCTTTTTTTCTAAGCTTTCCTAGAGCAGGAAGGTTACAAAAACTATGTGCTCTTGAGGTAGTTTTTTATGCAATAACCACTAGTTGTAAACTTTATAATTTACACAATTATTTAATTTACTCACAATGTGCTCAAGTTCCTGGTGGGGCTCCAGGAGGGCTGTTGTTATCACGGATACAATTTAATTGAGGCAGCAGCAATTAAAAAGATGAGCTAAATCCTGAGGACTTTTACTACAATCTCACTGGAACAAATGGAGCTTTTACTCTGGAAATGAGAGCGCAACAGGTTTTAGATATTGCCAGTGTACCATGTGCAAACCCAAATTCCTAAACCCGAACTATCTCTTTTGATATAATTTAATTAGCTCCTTCCATTTTGCAACAGAAAAACTAGCCATAGTATCCCAAAGCAGTGCTATCTAGCTGGTTGTAGAACAAAACAGATAAATGCTATTGGTACTCAACATTATATTTAAGTTTCAGCAACCCCAGTGCTCCCTGTGAGGGTAACACTTTTACTACACCTGATCAGCCTGATACCTATTTCTTATGAGACACAGACCTTTAAGGCACAGGGAGAAATGGTTTCACTTGCTGTTTCTTCTGTTTTGGAATGCTCTGCTTTTGGGATTTCTTTCCATTTTCTGCTTAGTCACCAACTTAATACTCACTGAAAGATCAAAGCCATTACTGTTAAAATCTAATATACTGCTCTTGGCTACTGACAGAGTCAGGGTATGGACTAGACAGACCTTTGCTCTGATCCAGTATGGCAGGTCTTATGTTCTTATTATGACTTAAAATTTACTTTCCCCACAGGGATGTGCTTGTAGAAGTCCATCTGTGAAGTGATTCATGAGAAGTGGACATAAAAGAGAACCGAATATGACTAACTGAATACATTAAAAAAATTAAACAAGTATTCCTGACAAATGAACACTTGAAAGATCTTAAATAAAACCCTAAGAACTTGGATTTGTCACCTCTCTAGTATCTGTTTTGCATTTTAAACAGTTGCACCTTTGATGAAACATTTTTTAAACGTTATGTATTGCCCTTTCCTTAGAAAAACATATGTGGCTTTTCCTTTCTATCTCAGTTGTTTTGGATTAAAGAAGAAGAGACAATTACAGCAATATCAAAGAAAGAGACAGAAGCAATCGCATGGATCAAATTATTATCTCATTGAAATCCAGGGGCCTGTTACTTGCAAGTTCAGTTGGACCAGGATTCATCCCCAGTGCCTGGAACAGTGGCAAATTGGTTTTAAACCTTGTGCATTACTCATCTGTGCCCAATATGATTTATCCTGCAATGTTAGGTTTTTGGAATTTGTCTGAATGGCTTTCAATAACAACAGCTCTGGAAATCAAAAATACTCTGAATAAAAGAGCCCAAGTTCTTTTGAAAAGTAAATTTTGTTAGAAATGTCATTTCTATTTCAGTTACTGACTTTGAATGTTCAGAGTCACTGTGAAGGCAGAGCTGATTGATAGACTATTTGCAACATTTGTTATTGAGGAGTGGGAATAGGCTGAATTTTATGGGAATAACCATTTAATACATTATTCCTAACATCACTGTGTATGCTTTCAAGTGATGGCATGCACATGTTGTAAATATGGTATCTTTCTGATTCTGATAGGGGATAATCGTAGTAGATCAACCAAACCAACAGATATGTGACTGCATCTAGGGGTTGAATGGCATAACACTGACACTCATAAAATAATCAAATAATCTCTTTTTCCTGCCAACCGCAGGCTAAGCATTGCTCACTGTGGTTTTGAAGTTGAAATATGTCTCTAAAATGTCTTCTTCTAAGTACAATTTTGAACATCGACTGTCTCACTGCTTTGGAGTTTTCATGACAGTCTTAGTTTACAATGCTAGAAAACAGGATGCTGGAGCATCAGCAAGCTTTTCAAAACCCCTAAAAGAACAAGAATTCTGATGGATGCCATCTTAAGTGAAATGAAAAGATGACAACATCCCAAAAGAAACAAGGATGAAAAGTGGGAAGTACTTCACATCTCATCCTGCTGGCAATGCTCAGCTTTTCTGGTTATCAAACTCTACGCAAGTAAAGTGAGAATAACCCCCCCCCCCAATGAATTGGTTATTTCTCAAGATGAAATACTTAAAAAGGGTTTGTGGTAGATGATGCCTACTTTTGGAACCTCTGAATTTCCAAAGTATTTTTAATATTGAAACTACGACTAATATTTTTATCTTGTGTCTGATGCCAGTTGTTCTTATCCTAGATCAGTTGAGTATATTTGGTTAACTCATTTCTAGTTATTTTGGGGTAGTTCATGCACGCTGAGGCCACTTGCAAGAAGCCCATTAATAAGCTACCAAGACCTCACAAGTTTCAGGAGGCAAAGATACATACAGAAATATCTTCCGCAAGTCACAGAAAGGATTGTGTCTAAATTCAGGCTCAAGGTGGCAGTTTGGGTTTGTTTATTTGTTTTTGCTTTTTCTCTTCTTTCTTGAGAGGAAACCCAGTGGCAGCTGTATGTATTCATATCTTAGTCTCACTGAACTTTTCCTTTTATGTCAGGAGGGTAGATTTGGTCATGAAATTCAGTCTTCCCAACAGTGCGATTTAAATACCTGTTTTGGGACTAAACAATCAGCATTTTTTTCTGTGCACCTCTGCTGGTTCTTCCACATATCCCATCCTGTGAATCACAAGTATTTCTGTCTGGGTATTTTTTAGATACTTCTAAAAACACAGGGCTGGACAGATCCTCAGGATGCACCAATGGTCCGAGCTCTCTGTAAGCTGCAGTCAGTGGTGATTCTTGAGACAGAAGGGGTTTTCCATATCCCACCTACCTGTCCAAACAGCGAATAGGGAAAAAGAATAATAAAAATAATAGGTAGCTCAGACCTCGAAAACGACTGTTTGATCTAAAAATTTTCCCTCTCTGGGATTCCATATCCTTCCCTGACAACCTGTTCCACTGCTCAAGTGTGCTATCCACACACCCAGAAATGATGTGATACTATTTAACCTAATACCCCTTGGTGTAAACTAGCCAGCTCTCTCTCCTTGTGTGTTAGGAAACCTAAGAAGTGACAGTGGACATCTAAAAAAACACCATTATCATTTTTGGAGGCTTGTAGCTTCCCTCATTACCCTTCTAAATGTAATAATGACAGTTGTTTCAACCTGTCCTCCCAGGCCAGGTTTCCTACATCTCTTAGCGCTTTAGTTCTCCCTCTTTCTCCCTCCCTTCCTCTCTCCCCAGTTTAGCTCTGTTCAAACTGCAGAGTTCAGAACTAGATGCAGGAATCTGGCTCAAATCTTACAAGTACCAAACTGTGCAGATCAATCACCCCCTATTTCTATACGTGCCTTTTGCATACACAGTCAGGGACAACTCTTCATGCCATCCAGCTACTCATCCACTACATTCCTGTGCACTTATCTCATGAGGAACACAAGTATTGCCACAAGTAACCAAGAAGAAAAATCATTCTTGATTTTAAAGTTAATTAAATGGCTGAGAGTTAGCAAATTTCCATGTGTCCCAACCCCAAGCAGGCTCAGCATCATTCCAGCTGTGTGCTAGGGTAAGTATAAGAAGGCAGTCCAGAGAAGTCTGTTTACTAGAGCATTATGATGGGTCAAAGAAAGTTCTTGGCAGGCTACACAAGCTCATGGGTCAGATGTTATGCAGTCCTGTTTTATGTCTTGTCTTTTATATGTTAAATTCCTGGGAAGTTGGGAGAGGAAAGGAAAGAAGAGGAGAAAAGAGAAGAGGAGAGAAGAGGAGAGGAGAGAGATGTTCTTTGGACAATATAAGAGCAGTTTATAATAATAAATGCATGGAGAGAATTAAATTCACTGTCATCAGCTGCTCTCATTCTCTTAATTTAAATGAACTTCTGTCCTTTTACTCCAACCTGACCAAATCTCCTGGCAAATACTTTCGAAAGCTTCCAGAGTAGGCAGTCACAGAACTGGGGACTTGCTAGATTAACTGCTTGTCCAGATTTGAGTGACCCAACTGTCACATGTTCACTAATCACTCGGGCCTGCTGGCACCCTGGACCTGTGGCTGCTTTCTCGGTCCTGCAGAACTGTGCAGGCTGCAAGTCAAATCCACTTTAGCTGAGCAAAGTGGCTCGTGTGCCATTTTTGGAATATACAGCTCTATAAATCTCAGTATGGCCTTTGGAACTGTATATTACTACAGAACTGTGGGAAACCCCTTTTGGGAGAGAAGTGGCACAGTTGATATTTAATCACTGCAAAGTCTATTGCAACACACTGTCTCTTTCCTTTGAAATAAAAGCTTTTGAATTACAGATGATCAAATATATTCACACCCCAAGCGAAACCAGAATATTTCTGGCCTCTTGCCAGTATCGGCTTGGGTGTAAAATATTTGACATTTTGCATTAATTTTTTACAGTAATAAAAGCACTTCCTCAGCTAAAATCTCCTTTGCCATCCAGCAAATGCCACTGGGCTTGCACTTAGATTAGATGCATACAAGTAAATCCATAGGTGTCATGACTGGGAAGAACAGTACTTCTGGGCACTGTGCTACATGACTGCTTATAGATGCCACCATGGTACAGTCATCCACCACATCTACAATTTGACAGATTCGCAAGAAGCAATGCTTTGAGATATACTTTAATACAGGTAATTACATTAATCTATGCACGTGACCAGTGAAACAAGGCTGCTATACTGTGTGCAATGTGGCTGAGTTAGCACTGATACAGGCATCTTAACTCAGCATTTCCAAAATCTGTAGCTCTGCAACCTGAATGTTGCATTAACTTACCTTCTTCTTTCATGTATTGACATTTCTTTCCTTTGGGGAAGGAGGCCCAAGATTTTAACAAACTGAGAAAGATGATGTTAACCTTATAAGAGGGATCAGTCGCAGAGTGAGTTAGGAGTTTATTTCTAACACCTGTTGTCATTGCAGTGTTGCTGCTAACAGGGTAAGTATTCCT